AAAGGCTGTAGGCGATGATGACGTTGTAGTAAATTGATACTATTAGAGTCACCATAACCATGCCAACGCCAACACCTGGAGCACAAAAGAGAGAGAGAGGATATATCAAATGGCTTAATGGCAGTTTTTCACATTTTGACATATTGCCAATGACTATTTTAAATTGTGAAAAGTTAACAATAAATACATTGCATGATTATCAATTAATTAAAGTGGACCTATCATGCTATATTTGAATAATATAGTGTAGGACCATACCTATATAAGGCATATTTATACTTTTTATTTTTCAAAATACCAAACAGATCATGCATTTTAGCAATTCCTCATTTCGCTCAATTTAACACTGCCTTTCATGCTCGGATTCAGGGAGAACAGCACCATCTGGTGGCCTGAAATATGTACCACAGCGTCTCTAGCGCTTTGGAACGCCAATGTCCGTGGCTGTCTCCTCCTGATTGGTGGAGTTGGCACAATAGCCGTAGCACAACTTCTGTGACGACATACAAGTGTTCAAATCTGGATCAGTCTGTATCAGATCCGTTGCAGCCCCTTTTTTTAGAGATTTGGGTATGGAGGAAAATAGAGAGGGTTGTGTTTTCTGACACTCGGTGAGTTCCCTGGAACACCGGGGACACATATTCATGTATAAAAGACGTACAAAATTGCATTTTGCATGATAGGTCACCTTTAAACATAAATAAATGAAGGCATACAAGTCAAAAGTTGGGGGGAACAATTCCAACAGCAAAAACAAAGTTCACGACTTTTCATGCTAACTCATTATCAGGCAGCACCATAGATCTGATAGCCCCCAAGGTATCAGCTCTATTCCAAAGTAAATCTTTTCTTCAGAGCTGTAGAAAAAGCTTTGGTTCTTCAATACATTCCTGAATGCTTTTGTATTTTTCCAATTTTGTGGGGAAATACAGTTTTGTTTTATGCTCAGTAAGACCTTGTGCCCACATACTTAGCATCTTTTTCTGAACGCCAGCGTCTTTTTATATTGTTTTTAATGAGGAGAAATCAAATGCCTTCACCTGTTTCAACTACATGCACTTGACCAGTAAGTTTTCTTGTTAGACTTTAATGCAGCTCGTACCCTTTTGGTCTGAACAAATTGAATTAATTGACCTTAAAGGATTTACGGCTTAAAACCAAACAACCAAAAGCTCCTCTGAGATCAAGAGTCATTAAAAAGACAAAGGATTGTCCACAGTTGACCATTAGCCTCATAAAACTCCTCATGCTTGACATCTTTACATTCAGATTCACCTGATTGATCTTTAACTCTAATGGTCATCTTACCCTGCAGGATAGGTACTGATCTCCATATGTTTATTGGACCTTGGCTGCAAAACTGCCCGAAGGCACTTTCCAGGAAGAACAGAGGAATCCCAGTCACCACCAACATCACAAAGTAGGGGATAAGAAAGGCACCTGCCCAAAGTGAGGGATTGGAAACAATATCAATAGTAGTGATTGACAGCATTTCCAGCACTAGTAAGTCATCACACAGCAAGTACTTACCCCCTCCATTCTTGTAGGCCAAATACGGAAATCTCCAGATATTTCCGAGTCCAACAGCATAGCCGATCGTAGAGAGCATGTACTCCCTCTTGCTGGCCCAGTTCCCACGCTCAGTATTTTCATCCCCATTATCCACATGTGGATCCTGATCATTGAAAAGTTTCCAGTGGTATAATTTGTAAGAAGTAACATAAAATACAACTGCAGTCAGTGAATGTTCATTTAAGGGTGATGAAATACACAGTTCTGCAACGCTTCATGATTATATTTAACAAAAATAAATAGGACACAAAGACATAGTTCATCACTGCTGCAGATTTCACTTTGATCATATTTACTTATGTAGTAAGTAATTTATTAATGTATAAACAACGAAATACATTATTCTTTTCAATCAATTTTCTTTTTCAATTAAGTCTTTCATGCAGGAATTGGTTAAAGGATCAGTTTAAGACAATTCCACTTTAGTAGTCAATTAAATAAACCCATTATATATTTACTGATATCTTGTTTAACCTTCTGTTGCAACAGGTCATACAAAATCTACATGTAAAAACCGGTATGTATTTTTTTAAATTCAAATACCAAATCACAAACAAAAAATCTAAAACGTAAATCTTTAGAAATACAGGAAAGTAACCTGTACCCAAGACCTATTTTGTGGTAAATGGTAAGAGTCTGACCTTACCTGGTTGACAACAGCAGGATTTCTGAATATCAAATTCTTGAAACTGTTCCAGCTGTATTCCCTCATGTCCTCCTTTCACCTTAAAGGTCTGTATACAAAATGGAAATCCCTCAGGTAGGTCTGTTTTAAAGTCACCCCTCCCCCATTGGACAGACAAAGGAGTGATGTTTTCCAACCAATCACCCTCCATCCCCTCTCAACATTGCTGAGCTGGTTTGTGCAATAATTCTTATCAAGCTTGAAACAAGATGTTATGCACATTAGTAGTTTCCTTCATGATAAAATTAGTGACTCCCCTACCCTTACTATAAGTGTCATAACTGGTTGATTTCTGTATCATACTAGTATTTCTTCTACATTGCTCAATTATATGATTCCACAAAAACAGGCCCATACTGTGCATGACTCTTCACCTCAGATTGTGTAGGAGTGATGCTAACATTATATTATTAGTATTGATAAGGAGACTGCCCTGACTGCTGGTAAGTGTTTACTCCTCTGTTGGGTGTGTGTGTGTGTGTGTGTGTGTGTGTGTGTGTGTGTGTGTGTGTGTGTGTGTGTGTGTGTGTGTGTGTGTGTGTGTGTGTGTGTGTGTGTGTGTGTGTGTGTGTGTGTGTGTGTGTGACTCAGGTGAGTAACCACGTCTTCACAACTAAAGCCAGTCCTCTCACTGATGATGGAGGGATCTCATGTTGGTCAGTGACAACAACATGTAATCACTGTGCTGTTAGCATGGGTGCATCTGTGTCACCCATAATCACAACCTGAGGATGTGACCACAACCATGTCAGTTGACAGCACTAATGACACAGAGAGGTTAATGAAAAATCCCTGCTAAACCCATTCATTACCAACACCTATTATACTTATGGTAAAAGTCATTAATAAAGAGACACACTAACACCCAAAAACTGACAATTTGCTAAAATATATGTATATGGTAAATCTGTTAATGTCAATGTGTTCTGCTCCAGTGTTTATAAACGTGTTTTTTTTCTCCCTCATATGCAAAGGTGAATGATTCATCTCTGTTAACTGCTTTTTGGCTATGAACACCTTGTAAACGTAACAGCAACATACCTTTTAGGTTGATATGTTGAAAAGGCAAATCAGTTACACATCCAAAAGTCACAGTCAGCATTTATTATGTTTCTGGTCAACTACCAAATGTAGGTCAACATCGATTGTCTTTTTTTGAACTCATGAGGGAAATATCAGTATGTTTGCCAGCTAAATACTCCACTGGTCCACAAGAAAAAGTACAACACATTATAATCAGTTCTCCTGGACCTTTTGGCACTTACACAGACAGGGTGAGCCATTTCAGGTCAGTTACATGTGGCCACAAACTAAACCTATAATAACCACTCCCTGGTATGACGTTATCTGCCTGTATGGCCACAGATTACAAACATAATAATGGAGAAAAATATAAATATAGACTTCCTGTGACCTCTGACTATCACACCGCTGACACACAGAGGGTTCAGCCCTGCTGCGACAGCTCTGCCCCTCCAGCTGCAGGTTGAACTGATAACCTTTATTGTCCTGCTGTAACCTCACAATAAAAAACAAATCAGTCTTTGAAAAGCTTCTCAGGTTGTCTTGCAGTTCATTGCATATTAACTTACAATATTTGTGCCAACATCCTCTTAAGAGCATTCCTCTGTCTTATCTGTTGGTTGTAATTAGTTCGACAAACATGCCATTAGTTATAGCATTTCAACTATTCACACTCACAAACAACTTGGATGTAGAGCAGGAAGACACCATCAGTGAGCGGATGAAGATCTCTAGTCTTTTGGAAATACTGTTTGTGTATACATGTATTATAAAGGTCTCGTAAAAGTTCTCATTTCCTTGATATAAACATTACGATAGCAAGTGCCTGTCTTTTTAACTACCAGAAAGTGACCTGATAAGCCTTAATTCAACAGATAGATGCATCAGGTCAATATGAACAAAAGCGGTCTCTATCCTGAGCAAACTGTAGGACAGTGCTCCTCTGTTTCCTCTTCTTCAATCGGCCATTAGTCCATCAAATCAGTGAATCAAACCAACATCACACTCATACGCACAAAGACAGTAAAGCACAGTGCACTTCAAATACTATGTTGAAAAAGTAAAGTGGTCTTTTTAAGGTTTTCATTGTTTATTAATTCTGTAATTTTCAAATATTTGTCACTTAATTGAAAAAGCAATGTAATGCATACAGTAACACAATAGTGGTAATTCACAAGGCCTTTTTGTGTGTGATTCACTACATTACAGTACAGAAATATTTCACATACATAGATGACCACCCCTGTCTCTAAGAGAAAAGGTGACTTTATTCTGAAACAGGAGGATTTCTTTACAGAAACAGTTACAACATGTATAACAAAGATAACAATATGCGCCCATCTGCGATATGACATCACTGTGGGAGTTGAGTGAGAAGTGATACAGGAATGTCATTCTTAGCGACAGCTACAGTAATTATTTAAAAATATACAATACACACATGAAACATAACACAACTTATCCGGCGGACAACAGAAGGCATGCTTTTTGTAGGAAGAGATTACAAAGATCATTGATCCTCACAGCAACATAAAGGGAGGATCAGGGTCAGATCATTTTTAATACGCAAAAAGAAACATAATATGGCTCCTAAAATATCTCAGTTACTAGGATTATACACTGTATCATAATGCAGAGGACTCATCTCCCTTTATTTAAGATCAACTTAAATGTTATTCAAATAAAACCAGACTTGACACTGATAACATTTAAAAAATTGTAAAATATCTGTTGTGAAAAGTGGATTAATAACTGCTGGCACCTGCTGTTATTATTCAATTATGCAATCGCCCCTGCTGTTTTTTAGTTTTGGCAAGTCACACGTATAATGTGTCTAACTGTTGGTGCATGCTGAAAAGGGCCACACATTATTTCATAGGCACAGTTAGACCTCGATGTTGTTGGCCAGGCGCAAGCAGAGGGCTGAGTCTGTCGGGATGTCCTCGCGACTGATCTCGTTTCCATCCAGTCGCAACGTCTGTAGTTTGGAGAAGTTGGTCACATCCACAACGCTGCAGAAACTGCCCAGAGTGAACTCTAAAGGGGAGATGAGGAGATGGTGAGGAATGTATTTGTGTCTATGCACATTTGAAGATTTGGACACACTGTATTTGCTAGTGTAACAACAAATGTGGGCGGCATCATAAACTATTGTCCAAAAAATAAATAAGTCAGGGCGACAAGACAAGGCACCCAGTTATCTTAGATGCAACATCGGTCATCTGGCTTTTATTCTGTTATCTGGCTGTGATCTGATTTAATGACAAACGACAAAGGTGTGCGACCAGGGAAAGCAGCAGAAGAACATTTTCAGATTGTAATATTGCAAATAATTAAAGATTGAAAACTTTTTCTGTGGCCCCAAAACTCATTCTTTCTTTAACTTAATCTAGCTATACATAGTGGCATAACAGACATTTATTTGAATGAAAATCAGGATCATTACTTTTTTTGTAAAGATAATCTGCTTTATCAGGACTGTGTGTCAGTGGTTTGATCAATCTTGATTGATAGTGACCTGCAAACATCAGCAAACAGCTCCACAACCCGGTGACCAGGTGCTCATCGAAAGACGCTAATGAATAATGAATCCTGTTTGTGCTTTACCTTTGATCTGGTTGGCCTGCAGGTACAGATGCTGCAGGGTGGTGCTCACAGGGGGGATTCTCTCCAGTTTGTTGTAGCTCAGGTCCAGCTCCACCAGCCCGGTCACATTGAACGCGTTGGCAGGGATGCCCTTGTCTGTCAGCTGATTGTGAGCTATCCTGATGTACTGTAGCTGAGAGAAACTGCCCAGGAAGCCGTCTGGCAGAGAATCAATGGAGTTGAACTGCATGTAGAGCTGGTGCAGATGCTCGGGGAGTGCCTCTGGGACCTGGGATGATCAGTTAAAGAGGACATGTTATTAAACAACTCACTTTTTTAAAGCTCTTGCACATACACCTGGGTACCTGGAGTGCCCACAACCCACAACTGTGAAACACGACAACTTTGTGGGCTGTCTCAGACAGGAAAAAAGGGATATAACAAGTTAAAAATACAATTTATAACTATATTATAAGATTTTAGGGATCCACTGTTGATATAAGAAAAGAAAAAAGAACAGAAAACTTAAATTTGGCTTCCCTTACAATGACACATGCAGGCTCATTAGAGTGTACCGCACCCCATCTGAATATCTCCAACCACCAATTAAAACTACCCTACCTTGACCCTACTTTTCTCCCAAATCAATCAGAAAATACACTTTTTCGGGAGGTCCCCTTAAAAGAAAAGGTGCTTAAACTTTTCCAGCTATGATCGCATAGAAAGTCAAGAGATACACGGAGGAGGACACAAAATCACCTTTGTCAACTTGTTGTCGCTGATGTCCAGCAGCGTGAGGGATTTGAGTGACTTCAGTGATGAGCCCAAGTCTGTGACAGAGTTGTCATGGAGATACAGGATGGTGAGGTTATCCATTCCCTCCAAGTCTGCAGTTGTTACCTAGGCAACAGTATAAATAATTGTTAAGGCCTAATGTCTGTGATGAACGGCCAAAACAGTAAACAATAACAGAAAGGGCTCCGCACAATAGCAAAATAATGCTAAACAATACCTTTTCAATCTTGTTGTGGTCGATTCTGAGGTCTCGCAGGGTGCGAGGGAGGTTGGAGGGAAAGGCTGTCAGATTGTTGTACTGTAGATACAAGCGCTCTAGTCCCTCCATCTGCATAAAGGCCTGCAAAATGACGAAGAAAATTAAGTGAAAGAATCTCAATGGGTTAATCCCTTTTTTTGCAGTCAGGAAAAGTTTCAGTGGCATTTTTTTATGTTTTTAATTGCAAGCAGTATCTTGTAAATGTATTTGCATTCAGGTTCATGTTAGTTAGGTCACAAGCTAATGCTGGTAGCTACTGTTTGGATGTTAAACAATATTCATTGTCTCAGAGAAGGAGATGTGAAGAGGAAAGTGAACTCAATGAACTGCATATTTTAGATACAAGAATTACAGTTGTGAAACTCAACAAGTACTGTGTAACTTTTATGTATAGCACTGTATAGTAGAACGATTTAGAAAACCAAAATGTCAATCACTAAAAGGGAGTGGTTGTGGAACAGTGGAACTGTCTGCCTATGATACAACGTTTTTGTGTAATGTAATTGGCTGTATGAGAAAAAGGTCCTCCTTATACATTGAGTAGGAACAGATCTATCTTTATTATGATGGATTAATAAAGCTATCATAAACCAAAACCTAATGTCTCCCTTTTATCTCAAAGCAGAATACAGGACATAAACTGAACACATGTGTATGCTGTAGCAGAAAGAAAACTGCAGTATAATTTTAATTAATTTCAGACAAGTAACCTCATCTCTACATTTATTAAAAAATTCCCCCTTTATTAAATCACATTTGCAGCAATAAAAGCATGACTTTTTACTTAATTACGTTCTGTTAGCCGCCTGCCCCATCTGACAACCGTTCAGAGCAGCATTCCCCTTTCATGCCTTGAGCTCACGTGTGTTTCTGGATCTGACTGGGACCAGATGGAGGTTTACCTTCTCGCCAATGGAGCCAGATGTCAGCTGGTTGCCGTGCATCATGAGCCACACCAGATTGGTTGCGTTTACGAGAGCTGAGTCTGGCACAGCTGTGATGGCATTGTTCTGCAGGTACAAGTACTTTACACGGGAGGGGATTGTGGGCATGGCTGTCAGGCCCCGCCCGTCACAGTACATGGCGACTGGGAAGGTGGGGGGACAGTCACACTCATCTGGGCACTGCCCTCCATTGGTGTTTCCCAGCAGGGAGGCAAATCTGTGGCTATGCGGGCCGTACAGCCAGGCGAAGGGGTCATATGATTGGCAGTAAGAGAGGGGAATGAGGGCAGACAAGAGGAAGACTAGCACCGCACGCATGGTCAAAAATGGACAAATCTTCACAGTAATCTAACAGAGACAAAGAAAGAGACAAAGTAAATACAATCAAAATACGATTTTATACACAAATCAACAATTTTCTATTCTTGTTATCTTGTAATGGGACTATATTGACTGTTTTCTTTTTTTGTATTAAACAAATACAGCAAACTGACAGCTGACTCTCTGTATCTAATAAATGAAAAGTAATCTCTTATATAATTTTTAGGTACAGGATGTACCAACAAAATGTTAGCGAAAATCCAACTGCTCGCACATCCTAAGAGAACATCTGGCAAACGAACAGACAGAGGTACAAGCAGCTTACTAACTTTGTTTTGGAAATGTGCCTGCAGAGAAGTACATTCTTAGGGGTCTTAAACCACAGGGAATCCAGAGAGCAAGCATTCAAAAAGAAGTGAAAAAAAACTTGCAATGAATGCCAGCTTTGTTAACGGTTCCTATACGGCCCCAAAATGATGGGAACATATCAATAATTACCCTTTGACTGGCAGGAGAAAAAAAAAAAGCTTACACAAAAAAAGAACTCAATCATCATCAAGTGTTTTTTCATAGATAAATACCACATAGACAGATTGACAAACGTTCACATAAATGCATGAACATACAAACACACACAAACACACACAAACACACATACCTGAAACAAGGCTCGCCCTCCTTGTCCCCTATCTGTTTCTCAAAGTGCTCAGGACTGAGGGGGACTCTGACAAACACTTTGTAAAACTGTCCTCCCCTCCCTGCTCTCCCTCCTTAACGTTCTGCCATCCCCCCTCTCCACCCCTCTCTCTTTCTCTCCACTGTTGGGTCTTTCTCCCCCTGCACCCCATTTTGTGTGTTCAGGCATGGCCGTGCACACCCACTCTTCACTGTATAGAGCCTCTTTTTCCACTAATGTAAGTGATGTGAGGGATCGTTCCCATCTGTGTTTAGCACATTCAGTCCCCTTTCAGCCGAACCCCACTACTCCTTATATTGTATGTATTCTTATTGCCTGTTTTCCTCTCAAATAAAAAATATCCTTTTCATGTTTCTTTAAGACAAAAAAATCTTCTTATCTTATCTTATCAATATGGTTGTGACAGCACCTTATTAGGTGTGTGCTTTTTTGTAATAATTTCATTTGTAAAGGTGATTGCAACAACCAAAACAAGCGAGTATTCTAGCAGGGATGGATGTTATTCTCTCCTTTCCTCTGCAATATCCTCACATCTTGTAAAGGGTTAAATGAAAACATGTGTGACAGTCTGTCTGGTCTGAACGCGGGCCTCTTCCTGTCTTTCTATTTTTTTCTGTGGCCATTTGAATAAGTGTTATCCCTTTTCTCTTCTCTACATCTCCTTCTCTGTTTCTTGTTGTCATTGAACTCCTTTTTATCATGCTACAAGAGCAGAGTTTGACTGCTAGGCATGTTTACACAGGAGGATCATGTTTGTGGGTCTTATACATTTTAAATAAAGTTCAGTTGGTATGTTTTTTTGTAATGTTTGTAACAGCTGGTTTCAAGTGATTTCTTTGGGTGTATTTCGTTATGTTGAGTTCAAACCCTCTGGCTTTTGTAGAGATCAACATGTAGTCCATTTTCCCACCATTACTGCCTCTTCTGCATGTTTCTTCCCCTGCAGAGCAATAAACAAGGGAAGGTCTGTGAATATGTGAAGTCAGCGCACCAAATGTGTAATTGCTTGCTCAGTGATGTCATGGTGGACTGATGCATAAGGAAGAGCTGCGGGCCGTTGACACTGACCTGGAATATTTGATTTCTCTCCAACAGCTGGAGGAGAGGATCAATAACACTCTTATTGTCCATCCACTAAATATGGAGCAAGAATCTGGAGCCAGTTAGGGACTGTGCATAAATGAAAGAGGTGGCAAGAACCTCAAGGGACTACAGATGGAAATGAGCTAGGAGCTAAATGTGGGAAAAAGCATGATTTTCTCTTTTTTAAACAACAGTATGTTTGTAATTTGATATAAATAGATTTAATAAACAAAAAACGAGTTTTACTAGACTTGACTTACCCTTTCAATTCATTTTTGGACAGCCTCTTAGTTGAGAACAAAACGTGTGAAAACAGCTGGTCTGCAATGCCTGAACATAAAAAAACGTCCAACTGCTGTATTAAACTGACTAACTAGCATGTTGTGTTAGTATACACTTTATTTGTTAATGTTATGTATTAAATAGATTATATATTATAGTAATATTACTTAATAAGACATAATGTTCACTTTTCATTTGCTGCTTCTTGCTTTTACCATGTACACTTTTATCACATGTGTTTTACTCTATTTATCACACACATGTGTCAGCCTACATATTTATATTTGTAAATGTCCCCACTGTGGGACACATAAAGCATTTCTGGCTCTGATGTTATATTCCATTTATTTAATCCATACAAAAAATGATAAACTACATTTATTCTGTCTGATTATATTTCACAGAAAAAATGGCATCTGTTTTTTTTAATACTGTTACTCTTGGTAACAAACCAAGTAAGCCTACCTCTCAAAATGTTGAAATACTCCTTTAAGCCTACTTCTTTTAACATATCCCTGTGAGTGATAGAAGAGCAGTCCTGTCACCGCTAAAGTAAGAAACTGAAAAGGAAAGTGTGCTTTGCAAATGTCTAACACATGTTTCTAAAGTGATTGTTGCAGCCGTTGTGTCCGACATCTTTATGGTTTAATAGATCAAAAAGGGAAGAAAGGAATAACCAGATGGCAACATTACATTAAAGTTTAACAGCAGTTCTGGTGTGAGGAATTCACAAGGCCTTGATTGTGATTGTGGAGGATCAGATTAAGGAGGATTGAACACTTGATTTCAAAACAGGAGGGACAAACAGATACATAAAGCAATGTATGTAACTGTTCTTCATTTACTCAGTTCAGTTCAGTTCATCTTTGTTTGTTATTTTTTATTTGAAATGTGATTATGTAGTTGTAACTGTGACTTTATTATAGTTTTTATTTACGGAGAAGTTGTTTAAAGCAGCACCTGTGAATTGATCCAGGATGAACCCTAGGTGTCTTGTGAGGTTACCACCTCTTGCAAAATAAGGTCAAAGGCATGTTTATAAGAGAGGGTTAGACAGATAAAGTCTGTGATAGTTTGTGTGTGTGTGTGTGTGTGTGTGTGTGTGTGTGTGTGCGTGCGTGCGTGCGTGCGTGTGTGTGTGTGTGTGTGTGTGTGTGTACATACGTGTGTGTGTGTGTGTGTGTGTGTTTATAATTTAGAGTGAGATAAATTGATTCTCTGCTTACCAGGACTTCAAAGCAAAAGCCCAGGTGGACTCTGCATAGCCCCGACACTAAACCAGCCCCCCCCCCCCCGTGTCCATCCTCTGTCTCATGGTCATGAGAAGAATTCAGAGGATCAGAGGACTGAGGCTTTTCAACTCAGGTCGTGACCTTTTCGCAGTTATTATCTTTCTGACGGCTCTTATAACTCACCTGCAGAAAAATAGCTATAATAACAAAAACATTCAACTATATTAAGCTTCTTATTTGCCTAGCATTGTTCAGCAAATCAAAGGCATGTTTATTTACGGAGTGAAAGCAGGTTAGTGAAAAGAAATTCATTTTTAGTTTAGGTCTACTGTTTTGCATAAAATGGACCAAAGATCCTATTATTATGTAGGCCACGTATGGCAGTCAGATGTCCTTTGGTCTTGATGCCATACAGACGCATGATGGCTGAATAGATTTGGATAAATGAAAACAATGTAGTGTTGCTTTTTCTAAGTAATATGTGGGAAAATGTTGAAAATCTGTTTTGTGTTGCGACAGAAGAAGAAAAACCCCAAAAGTATTATAGGTGCAAACCTATACCTACTACTATATCACAACAGGTGGTGCGGAGAGTGTACGTAGAGTCTTTACCAAAGGGTTTTAAATGCGACTCAGGGATTCAAATTAGGACTACAATTATCTGTTTTAGAATCAAAAGTAATAAAAAGTACTTTCTTGTAAATTATTACCAGCTCATGATGCAATCTGTGGAAGTTCATCTTTACTATAGATTGTGTCACCCACACACATACGCACATACCGCACACACAGGCGCGCACACACACACACACACACACACACACACACACACACACACACACACACACACACACACACACACACACACACACACACACACACACACACACACACACACACACACACACACACACACACACACACACACACACACACACACACACACACCAATGCCACATCCTTGGGCCTTTATTAAGCCTTGCTTTAAGCTAAAAGGTTGTGTATAAGCATTTACATACAAGACATACATAGACTGCTCTCACTGAAAATCTCTAGACGAATTAAAGAATATAATTATAGCAATTATAGAAATGCGGCTTTAGAAGCCCTGGACAACGTGTTTAGTTGAGGCAACTTAAACCGAGGCACCCCAGGGCACAGGGGGAAGCATAAACCATGCAACATAAAGCAGATGCACACACACACACACACACACGCACACGCACACGCACACACGCACACACACACGTGTCAATGATTACACCGTGTCAAACTTCTCGTCCTTTGTTCATGCGGATGAAAGAAGCGGATTTTTATGTAGAGTATGTTGGTAAATTGTAATCCTGAGCCTGATTTGGAGGTGTCCTGGTGAGCAGGTGGTCTGAGATGTTAACTGCACCATCTCCACTTCAAATTCCTGCCAGGGACCATCTGCTGTAGAAGTGAAACTCAGCGTGAACATTACCATGAAAACACTTTCAACTTAAAGCAGTTCTTACACTTTTTACCCTAAAGTGAAACTGCTTTCACTTTATCATTCATAAAGACAAAGGAAAATATGTAGCGTAGAGTTTAGCCTTAGATTTCTTCTTTATTCTGTTAAAAGTTATTAAATTGAATTTATACATCCCATGCCTAAAAAGAATATACATACTGGTGTCAATGTGAAGTTTTAATTGATCAACAAAGTTGTGCACAAAAGAAGTTGTATACGCTGTTGATTATAGAGAAAACAGTGCCATCTAGTATCCAATACAGGAACTGTAATACAGGGACAAATTAAGACAAATCATTAAGTAATGATCCTGATGCTTACACTTACCAGTGTAAGCATCTGTATTTCTTTAATATTAGTCAGTAACAGCCAGGCAACTATTTGTGGTATTATCTTATTTTTGACTTAAAACACAAATAAATCACTAACACAACAAACAAACATGGCAACCTTTATGCCCATGAGAAATCCTTACAAGTGATAAGGGATAATGTGCAACGATCCATCATTAATGAAAAGAAAATTATCATATTGCTTCCTTTGAGAAAAAATAGGCAATTCTACTGTTTACGAACAGCTGAACTGTGCAGTGGCAACAACTTCATATAAGAACTCAACGTCAAGTTCACACGTTTGAATTGCCCTTCCTTTAACAACGGTTCAATAGCAGAAATTTGCTATCAAGTAACAGCAAACATCTGAATGTCCAAATTGAGCAATTAGAATCAAGTTTTTAAGCCTACCATTTAATACGATATAACAAGATAACATAATCAAACGCATTATGTTTTTGTATGATGTATAAAGAAACAGCGATTTATATTAGAACAGTGTGTTTTGCAGCCCGCTTCTCAGCGGTTTTTGACTGGATTTTTAAACATGTAACTGATGCTACCATGTCAGTTTTCTTTGAAATAAACTTAATTTATGCTTATGTTCAGTGTTACCCTGAATGTGCACATGTTGAATGCATTTATTTGATCCTAAAACATTTGCAAAGGGGATTTACCATTGAAACATATTACAATAGTATTGTTTAAATCCATGTTTACTATAGAGTAGTCTTCTTGCCTCTGTAATATCTAAAAGATATGTTCTTCTCAAAATGCTTACAGAAACATTGCCATACAAGGTAAGAATTGCACTTACATGAAACATTTTCACCATGCAGTATTTGTGGTTTTCAGGGATCGGTTTTAGGCGTGTCCTTACAATATCTTACAAGTTGCTTCTGCCAGCTCTCAAACAGGAAACCACCTGAGGGCAATTTCTGCGATGGGAAATGTAACTGTCGTGAAAAGACGCTGACTCATTACATTTCCTGTTATTAATTTTGAATGCATCAGAGCACAGACAGTTAATATAACATCTTCTTTTTACATAACATCTGTATTGACTTAAAACGGAAGATATGTTGTTATTTTGACTTGAATAATGAATTTAAAATGTTTTAAGATAAGATAAGATAATATGGCCCTTTATTGATCCCATGGGGGAATTCAGGAGTAAAAGCAGCTAGAGAGTGAGAGTGAAAAACAGGACATTACAGATTAACACAAGGTAAAACAAATAATACAAAAAAATGATTAAAAAATAAAATTATTAATTAACTGTTAGGATTTACGCATATTTTGGGTTCTGGTTGTTGGATATATTTACTTGTAAGTGTGCAGATGCGAGTGCAGGTCAAAGTCATTGTACAAACAGTGCAGTTATGCACAGTCTGATGTTGATGTTGGCACATCACTGGATGGGAGCTGTGCACATAGCTGTGACCATGTTCAGGCACTGGTTTTGATTCATTTACTTTTCATCAGAAATTAGACAAAATTAGCTGGATAACAGATCCAGTGATCCGTGTGCATCAGTTGGTGCTGTTAGGAGACAACTTTGAAGCTTCAGTTAGAGCATGAAGCAAATCTAATTCAGCCAGCACAAACCCCATCACTGGAGCAACAACATGATCTGGTGGGGAGTCAGTGCTAGCTAGCTAATTATTGTCTCATTTGTCTTATCTTTATATTTGACGACATATCTAAATATTTATTTGAACCTCTCTCACGGGTATGTGTACTCCATTGTTTTGCTTGTTTCCATGGTTCTATGCAGACCCAGAATTAAACTGATCTTTAAGCTTTTCAAGCTTTTTTTTACCTAAATGTCCCTTCCATGGCTCAAAATAACTAGAGGTTTTTATGAGGAACATTTCAATATTCATAAAGCAAAAGCATGCATCTAAGTTAACACTGACTCAATGTGTGAGTAAGCTGAACATGTGCGGGCTTTTAATGTTTCAGTGAACGGTGTTATTCTGGAGCAGAGGGTTGTGAGCCAGCAGGGGATGGGAGGAGGCCTTTTCCATTTCCCTCTCCTGTTGATGCAAACACCAGACAGAAAGTGAGCAGGGTGTGTAGCTTGGTGAGGATCTGCCAAAAGCTGCTGCTGGCACACTGTGCACCTCGTTTCCAGAAACCTTCACCCAACCAGTTAGAAATTCAAAAAAACCTGAGACAGCTTGACAAGAAATCTTGAACAATGAACAGCAGAACAAGGGGTGGTAACACAATGTATACGATTGAATGTTGAAATTAAAATGATATTATTTATTTTCTCTTAGTTTTGGAGCATGGAAGTGGCATGGCAATGTTGGATTGTCTATCACTCCACCACTATGGTTCAAACTGAAATCCACAAAAAGAACCTGGTATTGTACAATCCACAAGTATAAAAAGACGCTTACACTAAATATCATTTTGAGGGACATGAACTACAAGTGCCTACTTTACACGACAGATTCACACCACTCACCACTCTGCAAATCTTCATGTCGTTCACACATAACGATAATATTAATCAATGCTGCAACATTAAAAACAAGTTTGAGGATAATAATAAACCTAAGTCTAAAATGGCATCTGAATAGAAAGCTCAAAGCACTGCTTTAACCAAACACACACACATATTTCTCTTGATGGCCAACACATTCCTAAAGTTTATACCACATGGCACGAACTGAGAGGGTGGAAGCTGCATTTACAGTCACAAATGTGCTATGTTCACTGTTTATGGTTAAAAGAAAATGCTCCATAACCTCTTTTTTACCCCCAAAGAAACAGGCATCATTATACGTGTCATAAATGAAGCTCCATTGTGGGTGTCGTTCCCTGTGTTCTTTCCGGAGGGCGCCCTTTCCATGCTCCAATGCAGAAATATCCACCGTTCTTCTTTTCTCACAGTGCTCCCTTAATATTTTGGGGGAAGGAATCTGGAATCGTTTTCCTCTCCTCTGCTCTGCTCGGATGCTTGGAAGGAGTTTCTTCTTCCTCACACACACACACACACACACACACACACACACACACACACACACACACACACACACACACAAATACAAAGATACACACACACACACACACGCACACACAAAATGGTCTCCTTGGCTCCCCAGGTACTTAGAGGTTTGAATTCCTCCAAGCAGAACACATACTGTAGACCCAATCTCTCACACACACACTCACACACACACACACACACACACACACACACACACACACACACACACACACACACACACACCCACACACACACTTAGGGAGATATACTTGAATGCTGATCAAAATGTTCTCATATTTACCATCTGAATACAATCCAACTTGCAATTATCAGGTCATATTTTTTCTTCTTTTCCTTCTTCTTTGTATGTAATTTATTTTCAGGGTACAAGCAAACACATTGCCACCAAATGTTGCAGGTTTAGCTTTACAAAGGACTGGTAGAAGGCAGGGGGATATCATGGAGGAGGGTTAGGGTTATGGGCAGCGTTTGAAGAAGAGGAATGTATCCGACAGTGGGTAAACACTGCCAGTAACTTCACACACACACAAGCCGACGCATTAACACACACACATATTTTCCTGCAGCTCTCGTGGGCTCTCGTGGGCTTGTCTCCGTTCAGTGGCTCCTGGTCAAACAGGTAAGTGTTAGTCTGTTATTGGTCACTCCATTTCCTCTCTACTGTAAGGCAGGCAGAACTGGAAATGATCTAATCCACCTTGTGTGTCTGTTTACTTAACGCTGGCTTGATGAGGTATGATTGCATAACCGTGTTTATCTCTGGGAAACCGTTTTAGTATGTACTGTAAAGACTGCTGAAGGTAAGAAAGGTAAAGTGGAACATTGCAAACATGCTGATAAAGTCAAACGTTTTGATGATGCAAAAAGGTTTCACTAGCTGCTATGTCATACAGTAACTGAGAGTCTGTGTGTGTGAGTGTGTGCTTCTGTGGCTGTCAACTTTGTGGCTATTACCGTAATCATCTACAGCTGTGCATGCAGTGGAACCAATTCTATTCTTCTTCCTTCTCATATGCAGCAGTTTGAATTCTGTGTGCAAAAGCAGTCATCTCCATTTGTGCTTCACATCGAACAGTACAATGTAATTCTTTTTCATTTCATTCTAAGTCTATAAAACATGGTGAAGAGGGGCTTCTGTGAAAATATGTTTTATGGGCTCACACTGAAATATTAGTTCATCTTAACTACAAAAGCTTACAGTTTGCATAATTTCATAAAGGCACAACTAACCAATGTAGTACTTCAACCCGAGTTGGGGCACTTGCAAAAGACAGATTAAAGGACATTGTGAGTCAAATATTTTTTTTGGGTTATTTGGATGTATCCTCTGTGATATCTCTGTTCCAATTTAGATGTAAAATGAAATGGGGTGTAAATGAAAATTCATAAGAATGGTATTGGCAGTCCAATTGTAGGACAGTATGTTCTCCTATTTTAGCAAAGGGTCCTGCATATTAAAGGAGATTAGAGGGGAGCATTCAACAGCTCTTATCATGGCTGGCACTTAAATACTTCCGGGTCATCTCACTCAGCAAGCAACCGGAAAAAACTAAAAAAGCGACTCGACCACCATGTGTAAAAATGAAAGGTCAAAACTGATGCTGCAGAGGAAGTATTGGTCAAGCTCCAAAACCCCAGGGTTAATAGACTTTCCTTGACATGGAGCCCACTGTGTTTATGTTTTAAAGAAACGTTTTGTGTATGTTTATTTGCAGGTTTTAATATCTGACGTTTCCATGGCTCTCCTGTGCTCTGCCATGTTGGTGCTACTGTGTGTTTTTAACATTGCCTCAGCCACTATTGAAGTTCACATGGACTATGGAGGTGTTCCTCTCTGGATTAATCGCCTGCTAGGGGAGCCAAGTGTGATAAGCCTGCAGGGACGGCTGGACTCAGCCTGGCTGAGAGCCAACAACCCCCAGTCCTGCCCTCAGCAGTGTGACTGCCCCCTCCAGTGGCCCACTGCGCTCTACTGCGACCACAGAGGCCTGGCAGACACCCCTGACCACCTGCCGGACAGGACTCAATACTTGTTTCTACAGGTAAAACAAACAGTGGGCTTGTGTTGTCCCTACTACAACTAACCCTCCGGGGTTTTTCATTTCCTGTTCACATTGTACACTTCCCACAGCGGCTGACCAACACTGCACTTTACTGTAAACATTTTATTTTAACTGCGTTACATCAAAGTCTTTTTTGTTCTTTTCAGGGTAACAACATCTCGTCCCTGTCCTCCTCTTTTCTGGCCAACGTTACTGATCTACGCTGGCTCATCCTGGATCAAAACCAGCTGCAGAGCGACACGCTGGGCCAGATCGGGCTGCAGAACCAGACCAAGCTGTGTTACCTTTTTGCCAACCACAACCACCTGAGATCAGTGCCCAGCGCTCTACCAGCTGGACTCAAGCAGCTGCGACTGGCCCACAACCAAATCAGCAGCATCAGTCCTGGAGCTTTAAAGAACCTGCACAACCTGACACTGCTGCTGCTGCAGGGAAACAAACTGCGAACCATCACAGAGGGAGACTTTAAAGGTAAGGTAGCTTCCTTCCTTTATGCATGCAGAAAAGAAGAGAGGTTTGGCAAGGAAAACAGTAGACAAACATTAAATGGAATCAAACCATGAAATGTAACACTTAATAATATTGGCGATTATAATTTGCCTACATTTCTTCTCTCTTTCATTCAAATGAGTCATTAGTAATCTTTGTGTGCTTATATGTTTTTCCCCTCTTCATACAGGTCTGGTCAGTCTGAACCTGCTGGACCTCAGTAGTAATTTATTCTCCGCTGTCCCCAGACATCTATCTCCTTCTGTCGAGCAGCTCTATCTATCCAATAACACGCTCTCTGCGCTGAATGAAGACAGTTTTGTGGGATTTTTCAACCTTAAGTACCTTCGTCTGAGTAACTGTAGTCTGCGTAGCGGCGTCATCGACCAGAAGGTCTTCAATTTCTCCAGCTTGGTGGAACTGGACCTCTCTTACAACAAACTAAAAACAGTTCCCACAGTCCCGACCACCCTGAGGTACCTCTACCTGGAGGCCAATGAAATACAAGGTGAGGTGCACACATACAAATGCAATCACCTTTCAAACTGTTATTGTAACAGAGTCACTGACTTCATGTCTGTGAAACTCTAATTTCCCACAGGTGTAAACACATTCCTACCTTTTACAATTCGAAAAAGCACTCACATCTTGGGACAGTGAAGTAAAGTATAACTGAGTTATGTGGCTGACCACCTGTTGAGGTGAAACACCCAAACCATGCTGTGAGGGAGAAGGAAAAATGTGGAAAACATGACCCGCACAGTCGCAGCACCTCAAGACAGCCGGGCCTCATCACAGCATTCAAACAAGAGGGGCTGGTGTTGGCCTGAGGAGAGTCGGAGATGGAAGAAGGGAGAGAATAAAAACAAGGGAGGGAACTATGAGACATTGTAAGAGAAAAAGCAAGAAGAGGGTGGAGGGAATATTGGGTGGTTATATGGGGGGAAAGTAGGTTAGCGAAGAAGAGAGCAGAGTGGTATGAAAACATCTGCGATGGATTCAGAGGGAAGAGTGCCAGACGAGCCAGAAGCACATGCTGTTCCCCTCTTCATCGTATCCTCTGTCCTCCCCCACCTCTCTCTCTCTATCTCTCTCTCTCTCTCTCTGTCTGCTCCCCATCAATGGCTTTTTTTTGGCCATAGGACTCTAATAACATTGCGGCAGTCTTTTAGCCACATTGCCCTACAAGACTATCCTGAAGCAATGACTTGGCGTGCGGGAAGTGAAAGTGTTCTGGACCTGTCAAGCTTCAGACAGCCAGGGCCGTGTAATAATGGGACATTCAGATGGTGAAACACTTTCACAAAAACTCACCTCACCGTCTAGCTAGCAGCGAGACAGCTACCGAGTTTCTTGTCTGCCAAAGCTTACAGCCTGAGCCCCGAGGGAGGCCCTACAACTGAAATGAAGCGAGAAAGCAGAAGAAGGCGCTGTGGTTTCCTCATCCTCCGTTTTCACTGTGGCACCTGCTAGACTCTCAGGAAATGAAGACTCTATGAAAAGCAGACTGATAAACCTTATATGATAAGGCAATCTTCACAGGAAGTGCTTTATCTGTATATTTATATGAACACATCTATATGATGTCAAATCATAGCTCGCTTGACTGATTTACTATGTGCAGAGCTTTGACAAGCATTTAGCTCTCACTTTGGTGAATAATGAGTCTCTAATAATACCATATGTTCTGTATATGTTGGAAAATTCCTGTCTTTTTTTCTGTTCACAACAGAGTTCAACGTGACCAGTTTCTGCAGAGAGGTGGGACCTCTTTCCTACTCCAGGATAAAGGTCCTACGATTGGATGGAAACAAAATGTCCCACCATCAGCTGCCATCCGACTGGGTTTTCTGCCTGCGAGTGCTTGAAAGTATTTACATTTGATCCACCTTCTCAACATGCAACCGAATGAGTTACTGTATGAAATTGGCCGAATTCATCTATAAAGAAATGTGACTCATCTTTTTGATCAACTAAGGCTTACAGCTAAACCAGAGAAAAATTGTGTCTTCAAGATGTATACACACCCAGGCACTGAAGGGAAAACTTTCCAACGATGCCAAAGCCTGGACTTGTATAAACCAGTGTTATTTTATGATACTGCCAAATGTCATGATCAAAACATTACCAATGCCACAAGAACATTCCCATGGGTTTCTCTCTCTCTCCCATTACATATTATAGTTTTGTTTCAGCACTGCAGGCTCGAACATCTGTGTGTTATTACCAAATAGGAACTGTGACAAACTCTCTAGTTTCTTACTGTGCGGAATAATATGCCGTGGTTAAACTGAGCTGTGTTACTGTGTGAGGAGAAAGGGAAACATGTATGAATGTCAATATGCAGTAGCTGTCCCACAAGACAATCTGACTCAGTTAGCTAGAGAGTGTTAAACAGCCACACCCATACTTTCAAAAATCTTTCAAAACCTATTTTTGCAAATATACAGTGGACAGCTTTTCATTAGGTGTTTTCCTGTATATGCAGGGGTTTTTATGGCATAGTTGCTCCATCAGCCACATAGGACCCTATTGCCTCATCCCATACACTGCCACTCAGTGGAAAGTCAGGGCAAGTGCATGATAAATGTCTCTTAAAACCAAGATGAACGACAGAAAGCCAGATGGACCAAGTCACCTGCCGATGTCCTGCCAATCCTTTCATGGCAAGCGATCCCTGCAGGTATAAAACATTTGGTGAAATCAAGTAACAACGAAGGAATCATATAATTCATAAATTGTCAAAGTATTGATTTTATGTTTGCAGGAAATCATGACTATTCGCCTGTCCACTAAAGCGGACATCATGCATCACTGGCTATATATTTCAACTAAACTTCATACTGTTACTGTTCTTCTTGAAAATACTTCATTTGCAATATCTTTTGGGGCCTTAAATATATATACTTAAGTTATTATAATGTAATTTTAAGTTTGCACATCTTTATTTATCATTTTTTCCAAATTTACAAGTTTTCAGTTTAGACTTTAATGCATACTGTCCACCTGAGTGGACATATAACATTTATTTTCTAAATTTGAAAAAACTAGATTAAAATAAACTAAAGTTAAAATCGTGTTGTTCATGCCCCAAGAGCAATAAAAACACTTGGTAAAAAAATCCTGAGTGAGGCTTTCATAATTCATGCATGAAAGGGTTGAATTCAACTTTGATTTGAAAGCTTATTTCCACTATCCAAAAATGTAAAATTGGTTTGCACAACAAACATAATGTACATTTTCGTGTGTTTGCTGCAGCAATAATTAACTTCACATTGATGCAATGATTCCCATTGTATTTATTCAATTTAAACTATTATGGTTTTAATTCAGTTTAGATGGTTGCCATCACTTTTGGGTTAACTTGTATAATGTATGCCTGAAGCTAATCGTCAATGTGTCAACAAATATTTGTATCTTGTGTGCCATTGAAAAAGAGTAATGTGTGATTTTATGCACTAATTTTGAATTCATTTCTAGTGGCCTGACAACTTTGTTTAACATAGTAATCTTAGTCTTAGATAAAATAATCAAACTGAATACAAATGTGTATCAGCTTACGAGAGTGAAATCATTTGAAACGTTCTAAAACTGACTATAAAGACACACAAAAGGACAATACTTGCAGTGCAGGCACTCAACTTACTAATAACTAGGAAAATACTTATTGTTGGTGTGTGTGTGTGTGTGTGTGTGTGTGTGTGTGTGTGTGTGTGTGTGTGTGTGTGTGTGTGTGTGTGTGTGTGTGGGTGCGTGCAGTGTGTGCGCAGTGTGCAATAACTCCCATATTTTCCAGGTGACACCATGTCTTGTAAAGCCTGTAAGTGTGTTTGATGGTCTAAGACTTCTGCTATGTCTGGACCCACAGAGTTAATACCATGGTTCTTTTGAGGGATGAGTATTAACCATAAAAGTCTCTGTAAGCTTGTTCCAATGACGACCAGCCGGCAGTCTGTTGGGTACATGTAGTCATGATGAAAAGATCACTTGTTCCGTGTTGCTGCTGAGAGGCAATACAAGTAATAGTAAGCCCATAAACTTCAAAACACCACAATGGTTTGACATTTTGAGAATATGCTCATTTGAAAAGTGTAAGGAGAGTGACGACTTTGATATCTTCAAATATGAAGCTGGAATTTAAATTAGTAAACTGCTTGCTTGGCTATAGCTATCCCCCGTTGCAGGACAGTCTCGAAAACGTAGCATTTTGCAGCAAACTTAACAAGAAAACATTTTCTCCACAGCTCTGAATTTCTTCGCCGATACTGAAGTGAGCCCCAAATCGAAATATGTCATATTTTTACAGGGTGTCAAAGGCCTGCAGAACATGACTGATCACGCTACCCAAGTATAAAAATGACTAGTTAGTAAAGTTGTTCCTGTATTGCATATGCCATGTTCTTTGGTCGGGGGGGCTGTTTTCTCAAAGAGAGCACCCAGGTGTACAACTTCTATCTCATAAATAGCAACATTTTCATGCAGTTTATTGCAGTTAACTAACATTTAACTACCATTCCCACACCACCGTACAACCATGTGTTAATCGCCCCAAAAGCTGATTTGGTGTGAATACACACTGCCTGAAATCAGTTTTACTTGCACACTTAAACCAGAGATAGACTGCTTTCCTACTTTTCATATCCATAGAGCCAGGAGATCCGATATTTACCAAAGAATAATCAGCATCAACAAAACCTCTATTTGAAACCAAACCACATAACATTTGAAATATGTGGCAGTACGCATGCTGTATCAGTTAACCTCCATTAGTGTCTCCCAACAAATTCTCATCTCTAATTAGTTTTTTGTGGTGGAATCATTATAATGTGGTTTCAAACTCCAGGATGATATGATTACTATTTCATAAAACTTGGACAGTAAAAGAGACAATAATTTATGTTATTTTTTGAAGATATTCCTAAAAAAGCATCATAGTCAAGGAACTTGCCAATGCATTAAAAAAACTGAACAAAACCCTGACTGGTGAAATCATTAAAGCTACTGCCATTCCTCTCCTCTGAACTAAAGTCTGCTTTGGAAACCATAAGTCAAAACAATCTGCAATGAAGCAACATAGAGAAGCTCAGGACCAATCACATTTCCCATCCCTCTGACTCTTCAGTAGCACAACACACAGGTAAGATATGAACTGGTCCAATCAGCACAAACTCTCTCTCACTGTAATTGTATCCACAGCTGTGTATGATCTGTTTTTAGCTTTGGTCATAATTCTAAAATTGCTTCTCAACTTGTTTTTTTCCCAGAAAAAAAACCAATGAGGCCTTGGTTAGGGGAGAAATTGCTGACATGTATGTTTACTTTGTAAATAAAACTCAACTAACCAATACTTTTGTTATATTCACAATTGAGGAGATAATATGTTGTTGTGATGAACCCACAGACAGATATGAACTGACGCTGCAGTTCCCCTCTTTGCTTCATGAGTTGGTGGAGATGAAAACAGAGCTAAAAGAAGTTGAATATCGAGTCTTCTCATCAGGCGGACAGAAACAGGACTGCTAATGAATGTTTTCCAGTGTCTGCTAAATCTGTAAATAGTTAACAGTTTTCAGATTGTTTCATGAAATGTGTGGGATAATACAACAATGTTGTATTCACTGCTTGTCGGTCTGCCCTAAGTGGACACAAATATAAATGATTGAAGGCCTGTGAATGGTCTGTTTAGATTTGTTTCCAGAGATAGTTTTTATGTTTCACTTTTTTTACATCGGCCCACTAATGTTATCAAAAATCTACCATTTTGTGCTAAAGACGGCGAATGTTGGCCAGAAGAGCTAATATGTTGCCACATTGATATTGAAATGCTAGCAAAATATAATTATTGCCTGGTTTTGTCGCCTAGTTATTGAAATAGTGTGCTGTTTTTTAGTTTTGAGAATTCAAATACATGATGCCTCAATGCCCTGAATGTTTTATAAAATCAACATCTTTAAATGTGTTCAACAAATTACCCATAACATCAACCTTTACACAGGCTTATTGACTAACTGGGGGAATAACGTACAGCTATGGGACCTCCCAGCTGTTTGTTGTTTGGCGGAGAAATCATCCCCAATGCCAGACTTGGTACATGTGGTTTTGGCTAGATGATTGAGGAAGCTGTTAGTTTCATTTAAAGGCCTGTTTACAAGCAAGTCCTCCAGCTCTCTCATTAAACACACACACACACACACACACACACACACACACACACACACACACACACACACACACACACACACACACACACACACACACACACAGATGCTGATTCTGCTGTCTAGTATTTCCTCTACCTCTATACAATGTGGTAAAAATGCTTTGTTGCAAAAGACAGAAGGCTCGCGTTCTTTGACTCATGACAGCTTTCGTTGTTGAAGACAGTTCACTAAATAAGGAGAACCACAGACTCGCAGTTATAAGCCTCAGAAAAACAGCAGGAAACACATAATCTTCACTAAATCTTATGTTCTTGAGACTATTAGCTTTAGCCATGGAAATTAACAATAAACATGTTTTTGGTACAAATGCCAAATCTAGCCTTTGCTCTATCTTCCAGTGTTTTGTTTGTTTTTACAACATGTTGGGACCTAGCATTAAAGAGATACAGAGGATTTGGTTTGTTTTTTATCATTCCTGCAGCATTTGTCATTTGCTGAAAAGTTTGCAACACCATTCCCCAGGGGTTTCCCAACAGTCCCTGCACTGTGAACAACTGGGAGATTTTCTCAGCTGATCATGCGACTTAACTCAGAGTAGTGTCTTTTTTCTTAAACCAGATAACACTTTTAGTAGCTTGCTGTCCAAACAATGAGTGGTAGGGTTTGAAGTGTTGGTGGTTTCGTCAGATTTATATAGGTGAGAGATGCTGAGTTTCGGGTCCACACTGAATGTTGTGTGTTTGAACAATGTGTGTTGCATGTGAGAGGAGAGTTTGTATGCTTGTGGAGTGTCTATCATACATTAACCGAGTACCAACACAGAGCCTCATATGTGATACACTAGCAGCTGATACACATGCAGCAGACCCAAAACAATATGGACACACACACACACACACACACACACACACACACACACACACACACACACACACACACACACACACACACACACACACACACACACACACACACACACACACACACACACACAGCTGTACCTCACCACTACCATCCATCATACCATGAAGCATATGGGCATGGTAAACCTACGCTTCTATTTTCATCTAAGAGACTCCATCTGGGTAAACGTCTTCAGTGTTCCCTTTTTATGTAATATGCAGTGAAAAACAAAGACCTATGGACTTATGTTCCATATAACCTTCATTCTGGCCTTAGGCCCCTCAAAAGAATGATATGCGTTGGAAACACAGCAGCCCTGATACGTTTATTTCCTGTAAATATAGTTTTCAGACACCAGCGCCTTTTGTTGAGATTCAAAATTCTCATTGGGCATTATTACGTTTACCGCTGCGCAAATAATCTACTAGACTAGTTTGACATATATATGGCCACAATTACTTTTTATCATAATGTTTTATGAAGCCAAACCCCTCCCCAGATCAGTGAATGTGAAGTGGAAGAGGGATGACAGGTTTGTCAAACAGTGTGCCTTGACCATATGGAAACAAGTTCAAGTCAAGTGTTGGTTGTTTTTTTAAATTAAAAGGCATATCTTTTGGGAAGTTTAGAAAAACCATGTTTCACCAGCTGGCTTCATTTGGATGATCTCACAAACAATGCCAATATTGGGTGGGTTCAATCAACTGTTTCGCATCAGCCCATTTATAACATTATAGGATAGAAAAGAGAATAACATATCTTAAACATTTGAAATTATCTTTAAATACTATGTGTTAAATCTATCTTGGAAAATAATGATAAGTCTGGAACGGAGTGATTTCTCCCAGTGTTATCCCGAACACACAGATGATTGTAAAGAGCTGGTGTTTGCAAACAGCGTGTGAGAGTAGCCTCTCTCAACTGGATAATGTTTTGGTTTCTTGCTTTGATTAGGAAATGTCCACTACCCAGGTGGTTTTCTTCGGGTGTCACGTTTAACAATATGCTTACTTAACAAAGTACTTCTCCGTTTTTTGGATTTCAAGCATGATGTCATACTGCTCAGTTTATCAGCTGCCTTTGGGATCCGCAGTCACTGGTGGTGTTCAGTGTGTTTTGGAGCATTTTCAGAGACATGGTTTGAATAGATATAAAGTGAGAGTTTTATAGCTCACAGAAAGACAGAATTTCGTTTTGCCAATGTTATAATGACACACAAAGAAAGGGCTTTCCAGCTACCTGTCTCCTCTGATGACCGGTGGTATGCACAGTTAGGCAGGTTCAGGGAGAAGATAATAAACTCTCAGCACTTCTGCGCTAGATGAAAGAGTGAAGGAACGCCATCAATGTGCCAAGATTGTTTGAATGCTTTGAAATCCTTCTGTCTAATAAACGCACATTAAGTGAATTACAAACTTTTATTCATGATGTATGCAATTATCATGATATCTTTTATGAGATGATACAAATTATTCATGACACAAAAACATTTTAGTTACATGAAACTTAACGATGGCAAACAATATACTGTACAGTATATAAAAGATTGCTAACAATTGCTAAGATGAGAGCCCAAAGCTCTAGATTTGAGCTTTTCCTTTTAGA